GCTTTTGCTCCTGCTGCTTGGAAACAGTGATATATTATTGTTAGTCTAAGATTCTTGGAAAATTTCACAGCAGAGATATTGAAAAGCAATTAATATTCACAGAAAGATTACTGATTGAGATAGCTTTCACTGCATTCATTTTTAAATAGCAGCATCTCTTATTAATACCATCATTCCTAATAAATGCAATTAAAATTGTTGTCTAATGAAAATTTTAGTGTTAATTTATATAATACAGACTTTATACTTGCAATTACAGCTTTCTTGATTCTGCAACATGTTGTTCAGGAGGAGAGAGACTATCCTCTCTGATTACATGTCTGTCAGTTAGTAAGAAGAAAGAAATTTTTCAGTCTCCCTTGTTAACATCAGCCAAGAGATTTCTTGAAGCAGCAGTAGCCAAAGTTCTGAAGTGGTATTGTAAGTCAGTCACTTCAACAGTCAACAGTGTTAAGATGTTTTATATAAGCACTTGCACTGATGAATCCACTGAATTCAATGTTTGCCATTGTATTGTGTTCAGCTATGAGAGGTGCATCAAATATATTCATTGCTGCAAGGACAAGGCTTTGACAGATCAATATATATGACACTGTTCCTGTGAATTTCACTTTCTCATGTTCTGTGCTCTGGTTTCTAGTTTTCCCCAGAAAGTGGGATATGGCATTGAGTTTGGAGCAAGTACTTGACGTTTCTCCATGTTAGTGCTAATCCACACATGGAAACAACATCTGTTTCATCGCTACTTTGCTCACACTGTTCTTCACAAAATTCTCAGGATCCCAGGGAGTTTGTCATGGAGATGGTCAACGCCAAGTTGAGTCAGTCCATGCTGTAGCTCTCAACTGGTATTGTAAGCTCTCTGCTCTTATCTGTGCCTTTTGTAGAGGTATTGATGAAACTGTGACTTCAGGCAAGGCTTGATTTGTTGCAGAAGCATTTACAGTAATATCTACAAGTACTTCTCTACCTATAGCTCTAATTCTGGCCCTAGAACATGACCTTTGATGAAAGGTGAAGGGATTTGTCCAGCTACAAGACGACAGAGCCAAGCTCTCCTTGTTATTGGCAGTGAATGCAATAAGGATCAACCGTGACAAATTGCAAGTAGGGAGGCTCAGCCTGAACACACACACAAAAAAATCTTCTTTTTCAGAAGGACAGTGCATCTCTACAACAGGGCACCCAGAGAGTCTGGGTGTGCTTCATTTAAGAGGTCAGCATTTTGGTAGACAAAGCCATGGCTGACATGAGTCAGTGCTGGCTGTAGTCCTAGCCCAAGAATGGACTAGACATCTCCAGAGGTTTCTTCCAACCATTGCTTCTGTGATGGTGTGAGTGTATATTCAACACTCACATGTCCTGGTTCAATGACACCCACTGGGAACAGCTTTACAACCTCCCTCTTTCTGTCATCTACAGGCATTTCTACTACTAAAAAAGTGAACTCATTTGTTATATGTAGCCCCTTTTTCAGATGCCTTCCTGTTGTTCACTCTCTGTGTTGAAGTATGGCTGCTAACTAAATTCAATCTGTTAGAAAGACCTAAGTTTTACACTGCTCTTGTCTTCTCATTGGGAAGCCTTTCCAGAGGGAAAGCATGGCTTTCCTGCAGAATTTAGAGTAGGATGGCTTTCAGTGTCTTCTGCCTCATTTGCAACACCAAGGCAATCTCTTAGCACTGCTGTCAGGGCATGTGCATGACTTTCAAAGCACTTTGGCAAGTGCATATTTTTTCAGTTGATCTGAACAAGGCATGACACCAGCATTTTTCAAGGAGCTTTCTCACTTGCTTTCCATTGTGGAACTGTATGGGATGTGAGCTGGAGCATTAATGGTGCAGAACACCTCTGCCTATCAAGAAGCTTCTGCTTCTGAGTGCGTCCTTCTGATTCTATACAAAATATCTCATTCACTGTCTTTTATACTTCACTTGTCTTTTCCACTTCATGTTCAACTGCTTACAGCTTCAGATTATGCAAAACACTCTGAAAATGTTTGTTTCAGCGAGAATTTTGCTTGAAATCCAGAAGAACCTTACAAGCTGTGCAATACGTTTTGCCACCGCTTGTATGAAAGATAATTTGGATTCTTTACTTCTCTGCATAACATTTATAGTTACCACTTTCTGGCTGCAAAATCTAGCTACATTTTCATTATAATTGTCATTTATTTACTGCCTTGCTCAGCTGTTCTTTGGGGCATTCTTCAGCTACCTGTTCCTGCTACAGACTCAGCACCGAGAAGTTAATCTTCATGTGAATTTGGCAAATATGAACCTGAGTGATTTGATTTTTACAGTGGCACAGCATAGTATGCATGCTGATACAAAGAAAGCACTCTCCCATTTACAGTTAGCACTATGTTTATTGAGATTTGTGGCTCTCTGGTCACCACAACTGCATGGTGAAGTCTCAGTGTTGTGGTTTCACAGAGTGTGCGCATGAGACTATGCAGATAGAGAGGTATATGCAGGTGGGAACAGGGAGAGAAAAATAACTGCACGTGTATAAAGATGAAGAGAATTAATTTTCCAACTGTGAAATCCCTTAAAAAAAAAAACAGTTTTGGTGACCATGGCATGCCTGAGTCTCTGTTTAGCTTTGGATACTGAGCAACCTGGATACAAAAGCACATTTTTCCATCAGTTGATTTTTGCTGCACGGTTCTCTTTGTGCCTGTCGAAGCAGTAAGGAGACTGTTTGCAGACTTGCAGCCTATGGGAATGCCAGCAATGTGCTCTCCTGTCCCACATGGGCTCAGAATTTCCAGCTCCCATCCAAATCAGGCATTCCTTTTTTCAGCACTTTTCACCTGAGATTTTTGAGTTCTAGTTTCAAAACAGGAAGGCAAATTTCTTGTCACTTTGGGTTATGGAGAACTGTGTTGTGGATATTACCAAATTCTTTCATCCTTTCCCGTATTGTCACTTCCAAACTCCCATGTCTCAGCAACTGTGCTGCAGGGGAGAAGGTCTGGACGCCGTCTGTGGCTTCCCTGGCTGGGGAAGGGTGTTGCAGTGACATGGGTGAGACCATCAGGGAAGGCTGTGTTAGGCGCAGCGTGATTTTAGAGCTGATGTTCTGTGGGCAGCCTTGAGGCATGTTTCAGTTCAGAAGACCTTCCACAAGTACAAAACTGCCCTCAGTCATACTTTCCAGTAGTCTTGCAAATGGGCTGTGTTGATTCCTGGTCTTGCGACAATGTGCTGACAACAGAGCTGGGAAAAGGAGAATGGACAAATGATCCTGGTGGGTTTCTGGCTGTGGTTCCCAGTCTCTAGGTATGACCCTTCTGGTGGAGCAAAACATGAGCAGTCAGTAATTTTGGAAAAACAGTTCAGAGGCATGTAGGATTGTTCTTCTGAAGACCTTTCTTGAATTTTTCCAGGCTCTCTCATCAATGGAGGAATTCAGAAACCTGGATCGGGATATTGAAGGGTCTGCAAAACGGTGGAAGAAATTTGTTGAATCTGAGTGTCCTGAAAAGGAAAAGTTCCCTCAGGACTGGAAGAACAAGTCAGCTCTGCAGCGGCTGTGCATAATGAGAGCCATCCGACCCGATCGCATGACCTATGCTGTCAGGTAGAGGCGCTTCTTTACTATCTCTGTAATGCTCTTGCTTAGCAGGCAACTTCAGGGTCTGTGTTTTCTAGGGAATGAGAGTAATTCAGGAATATGTTTAGATTTATTTATTATGGAATGTGAGCTCTGCAAAATGGTTTCCTATAAAGGAATCTGCTGAATGAGTCATCTCTAAGCTCTGCAGGTCAGTCAATGGATTTCATTTAACTGGGATTTCTTGCTTAGGGAGATCTAACCCCAATATCACCAGTAGTGATGGAGCAGTATAACTAACACTGGCTGAGGAGCAGACATGCCAAGTCAGAAATGAGCACCCTCATACAGGTGTTATACATCTGCTAGAGTTTTTTCATGATCAATACAACTTCTAGAGTTCATTAAGGTTGATTTTAGTTACTAGATCCTTTATGGCTGTTCTGTATGTGATTCTAGTTCTGAAAGTTGTAGTTGTAAATTATGTAGTGAAGGTAACTAGGCGAGTCTAAATTTTATGAAGGTATGCAAAAGCAATATGCTTGTTCCAGGAGAAACTAAAGGTCTTTCATTCCATTAGGACTTGTTCTTGCCTTCTGTGTCCTAGTAGTCTATGATTTGACATTTCTACAATGTCTCTCATGCTACTGCCTCTCAAATAGTTTATATTGCTCCACCATCTGGCATGTGTGTGTATATGGGTGCATGTAGCAGATTGTATTACTCAGTGTATGAACTAGATTTTTGCTTGTGTTTTAAAATTCACAGAAAAATGCAGACAAGACTGAGTGAAGTCTCCCTATGGTTAATGTTATTAAGTTTTATTAAATTAAATACTATAATTTATCATAATCATACCATTCAAAACCATCTTATTTTTCATTTCTTACTCTTTTAGGGCTGGATTCTTCATGTGTTCTCTCAGAGGAAAAGATTGTTTTTCATGTTGTTTAGTTTGAGTAAAGTAAGCTCTTGTATTTCTGAACTTTTAAGTGCATATTTCATTTAAGCAAGTTTAATTAATTTCTTTCAATCAAAATGATGGTACTCACATAGCTCAAAAATAAATAGAACATAAAGTTTCAACACCTTTCATATTCCTCTTTTATGAAAAGGTAAGGGAATCCAAGTTCAAAAGCGTGGCTGGATATTTTTAGGGTCTGGGCATGTCAAGCTTTTCCATTTGCACAAGGGTATTTCGATGTTTTTTTGTTTTGTTTTTTTATCTAGAAGTAGGTTAGAATGTAAACATGTGCAAAGAGTAACAGTTCACAGCGCCTTCTTCAAGACTTTGTAGATATTTGTAACTAAGATTCTTCTTGAAAGAGAGGATAGTCAGACACTAGGCCCAAAATGCTTAAGAAGAGCTTTTGTTTAAGGAAATCTTATACCCTAAAAGCAAATGTGAAATTATTAGTGGTAACAATGACAGTCAAAATGTGTTTGACTTCACGGTTCCTCCCTGATGGTATCATACTCCTCAAACCTTTCTTCAGCCAGCAGCCTGGCTAAGATAGATACTATTCCCTTAGTGAAGAAATTTGCTTTTCCTAAGAGATTCACCTCTTTGGAAAATGCACGAGTCTGTTCATCTGTCCTCATGTCAGTCGGAAGGAAAAGCAGTCTTTGGATAGAGCTTAATACAGTCAGCCACCACACAGACGGCTAATGGCCATCTGGTGTCTCGTTTTCCTGAGCACTGTCAAAGCTGTGTTGTGTCTGTGACCCTTCAAAAAGTAGGGGATCTTGTAGAGTTCTGGGGGGCTGCATACTCTGACCATGAGGACTTTGCCCTCAACTTTAGCCAGTAGTGGTTCACGATCACGTGTGTGTTAACAAACTCATTGAGTTTTAGATACCCGCAATGTCATTGGATCCCACAAGTTGTTTTGCAGTTCTCAACTTGCAGATCTCTTTCTTCTGTATATCAGTTAAATCTGCTAATATTAAATACCTTACTGATGATCAGTGGACATCACTACTAGTCCTAGCCTTCCTGTCTCTCTGTGAGCCTTGAAAAGTACTTGAGTGCATTTTAGGAGTCAAGGAGTAACTTGGTAGCCTAAACACAGGTGACTAGGCATATTTTAGATGCTCTAGAACATCCCTGCCTCATTTTCAGCTGCTGTTCAGAAAGGTGAAAGAGCCGTTCTGTCCCATGTCATATGTGCCAGCTCCACAAAGATGGTTTAGGAAGCTCTCTGGTATCTAAAATTATCCACCCCTACACAGGCTTCTTGCATTTCCCTGTCTTCGGTTTTTCAGCCACTCTTCATAGCAGATCCCTGGGGATATTTGCACAGGCTGTTTTATTCCCTAGGTCTAAGCTAGGAGAACACTCTTACCCTGACTCACCCCTTAGAGCTTAGGTGGGGGCAGCGGTCTATTGTCCATCACCAAGAACAAAAATTTCCTCAAGAGGGATTTTCCAGTACAAATACCTATTTCATCTTTCAATCTTATTGAAAATATCAGCAAGGAACTTCTTGTAACACCTGGTGCTCCCATGTTTTCACAACCACAATGAGGTCAGATCAATCCAGCAGCTACTAGCCAAATATAACCTGGTCATGGTGAAGTCCTTCCAAAAGCACTGGTACTTCTGCCTTGAGGAATAGACCTTTGAAACAACATGGAAGGACTAAGGACACTGGTAGCTGGCACCTTCAGCCATGGTTATGACACTTATATGGACACTTCAGATAATGGATCTTGGGTACCAAATGTAGGCACCCTGCCAGTCCTGTCTCTGAGGGCAGGCCTTCCTTTCCTGCACATGTGGTCCATTTCAAAGTCTCCAAGTGACATTAGTTGTGTTTCTGAATCTCCAAGCCATCATTTGATCTGAGGGCTGGAGCCCCTCTCCTACAGGGCCAGGCTGAGAGAGTTGGGCTTGTTCAGCCTGGAGAAGAGAAGGCTGCGGGGAGACCTGATTGCGGCCTTTCAGTGCTTAAAGGGGGCCTATAGAAAAGACGGGGAAAATTTTTTAGTAGGACCAGCTCTGACAGGACAAGGGGTGATGGTTTTAAACTAAACCAGGGTAGGTTTAGACTGGATATAAGGAAGAAATTCTTTCCAATGAGGGTAGTGAAACAGTGGAACAGGTCGCCCAGAGAGGTAGTGGAGGTCCCATCCCTGGAAACATTCCAGGCCAGGTTGGAGGGGGCTGTGAGCAACCTGATCTGGTTGAAGATGTCCCTGCAGGAGGGTTGGACTAGACGACCTCTAAAGGTCCCTTCCAACCCAAAACACTCTGTGATTCTATGATTTCATAGAGCTGAGATGATGTAAAACAGGAATGTTGTGACCTTGTATCTGATGGACTTTTTTTAAATGTTGTGGACTGAAGGTTTCCAGCAGCTCTTTGGCAAATCTTGACCCAGAACAGAAAAATCTACTCAAAAAAGGTACCAAACAAAGTGGAAACTTTTACTTTTCCAATCCCTTAAGCATTTCTATTCCAACTGCCTTTCATTAGTCCTTGAAGGAGACTGTCAGCTCTCTCAGGAAGAATTTGGCCACCTTATTCTGGTATCACCTACCAGGTGAAAACTGGCTGATGTTTTTCTTCCCCCTGGTACTGAGGTTTGCAAAAGGCCTGAGTCATGCATCTATGCTAGAAGAGAAACTGCTCATTTCTGGGGTTTGAGTATGACATTCCTACCTTTGAATCAATGTTCACTTGTATCCTCTTTTTCTAAAGCAGTGGTTTTGGAAACTCACCCTGGGGAAATTCAGCCTGGACATTCTCCATTCACTGTGTTCTGTTCAGGCAGCTGCTGTGGAGCTGAATTTTTTCCTGTTCACTCAGTTGTATTTCTCTTTGTGACTCTCATGCAGAGGCTAAGCTACACACACTAGATATTCTTAGAGCTTTTCCCTTTTATCTTTCCTGAACAAAGGCATTTTGTAAATCATTTGGACTTTTTGTGACTTTTGGTGATAAATCTAAAGAAATGCTGTTTCCTCTCAAAGGCTGTATGGATTACAAAGTACATGGCAGTTTTCTATACATTAACTTAACTATTTCTTCTCTCCTGAGATACCTTTGTCAGAATCAAGCCAGTACTTGCATTGAACTTCTGAATACAGCCTTGGGCTCTTAGGTCCAACTGTTTTCCCTTCTCACTTCCTTTCATTTGTCAGATGTTGGTGTGCCATGTGTCATTCTACCCCTGTAAAAAGTGCCAAACATTGCTACTGGAGTGGTAACTCCAGAATCCCAGCCTGCAGACCCTCTCTAAAATTATTTCATGCCCATTTTTTTCATTTAGTTTCTAATTTGTTTGAATCAGCAAAATCAAAACTAATTAATTGATTATTTGCAGGGGAATCTGTCTTTTCTGAACAATAGCAGGCTGGCTAATTATTTTTTTTTTTTTCTGGCAGAGATTTTGTAGAAGAAAAGCTTGGCAGTAAATATGTTGCAGGAAGATCCCTGGATTTTGCAACAACCTTTGAGGAGTCAGGACCTGCAACTCCAATGTTTTTTATCTTGTCCCCAGGAGTTGACCCACTGAAGGATGTGGAGAAACAAGGTAAATAAATAATGTCTCTAGGCATACCACAGAATTGCTTTTTATCTTCTGCATAATTACCTTGGCATGACATTCTTGTTCTTTTTTTTTCTCTCATCTCTCTGTAGATAATGGAGTAATCTGTTAAAAATAGATAATTGTGAGAGGGTGTGATTGGTTTTTTGTTTTGGGTTTTTTTTTCTTCTTTTTTTCTTAAAGGATTTTCATCTAAAGTTTAAATTAAACTTGTCTCTTCCCTGCATTGACTGGGTTCCCAGTGTGGTTCACACTGCAACAGTTTCTGAGTTGGTCTTACACACAACCTATAATTTATGTCAGAGGTATCTAATATGCTGTCAGACAGCTAAAAATAAGCAACAGCTCCCTAAAACAGTCTGCTGGTTAGTGGCAGAGTTTCCAGTTTTTAATCCCATCCTTCCTGAGTGGAAGGTCAAACGTAGTGCTGTCAGCTGGCTTCAAAGCCAGAGGGGCTTCTCCAAGGTGCCTTATGTGATAATGCAGTGATTTACATTGTGCACCAACTGCTGTAGTCAGTGCCTGTGCTCTAAGGGTGCTGATGAATTTGCTCTGGGTCTCAGCTCCACCATGGAAGAATTACCATTTTCAGCCTGAATGTGACAATTACAGTAGGTCTGGAAATGGGGTCACTTCTGACTGTTGAACAGAAGTAACTGCGGTCACTTCTTTCGAGGCTGTTAAAGTGGAGCAGAGGGGTCAGATGCCTTTGGGTGCTGCTTTAGAGCTGCTACAGATTGCCATTCTGCTCATCACATGGTTTTTCTCCTTCTCCAGCAATGCACTCCACATATCTCCAAGACTATGACTTGTGGTCAAGCCCCGATGCTCCTGACAGTGTGGAGTATGTTTAAACTGTATGAATTACATATCAGACTACCACAGTAGAGCTGCTGGCTGGTTTTTAACAGCAAGTCTCCAGCAAACATCAGCAAGGATGGCAGCCCCAGCAAAGAAACCAGTAACACTGAACTAAGTTGTCATTCAGGCGAGTGGTGGAAGAATGCTGGCCTGTGGGTTTCTTTTCCTCTCTATGATGCACCTTCTGGGCCATCCCAAAATAATGTTTGAGTCAGCCTTTACCCACATTCCCACAAGCAGCTTTCAGAGATGTTAAAGCCCAGTGCAGCCTGAGCCACAGGCCAGATCACAGTACTCCACTGTGGGGGGTTCCTGGACTTTGCATTGTGGTTCATGCTCTTTCTGGACTGGTACCAGGTCTCATTATCGTGAACTGAAGGGGACCCCTTGAGGAAGGTCCTATCATGTCCCTGGCTTCCCTTCAGAACCACGTGGGTGATCCTGTCTCTCACTGTGTTATTTTATTGTATGGGAAATGAAGCACTAAAATCCAGCTCTGAATGGTTTAATTAGAATTGTAAAGATGAGTGTAGTTGAGCACCTGGGGTTAGTCAGCCAGAAAAGTTACAGCAAGTAAAAATGAAAAAATCTAATGAAATAAACCCATTGTTTCAGTGCAGCTGCACTGGCTTTAAAGCCTGCCTGCTGTGGTTTGGATTGGATTCATTATTCGATATTTTCTCTGCCCTCCATTAAGTTTTATTAAAGTGCAAGTCTGGCTAGATAATTCTTGTGAATGGAAGATCGTTTCTTCCAGATGCTGCCCAGTCATGGCACCTTTTCTTGGCAACATGGGGAGGACCCTGAAGCAAATACCGTTGGGCTCAGAAAGCTTCCCCACCTCCCTGGGGCAACCTACCTGCACCGTCCCCTCTCCTCTCCAAGACAGCAAGGAAGGAGGAAGGTTGGCATCATCTTTGGTGCAGCAGCCAGAGCAGACTCACTCTGTATCCCTCTTCAGTCCTGTTCCTATCTGTGAGGTGTAAATAACAACTGACATTAATTTTATTTTTAATCACCTGGTTTGGGGTAGTGCCCTGACTTCTGCAAATTTGCCCCATCCCTTCTTGAGAGGGTAGGTCACAGAATCCCAGAATGGCAGGGGTTGGAAGGGACCTCCGGAGATCTTCCAGTCCAACCCCCCTGCTCAAGCAGGCTCACCCAGAGCAGATTGCACAGGACATTGTCCAGGCGGGCTTTGAATATCTCCAGAGGAGGAGACTCCACAACCCCCCTGGGCAGCCTGTTCCAGTGTTCCGTCACCCTCAAAGTAAAGAAGTTCTTCATCACGTCTTGAAGGCAAAAGGGGAGATTAGCTCTCAAATTTGGCAGCCACCAGAGATGGCGAGAAAGAAAACTGGAAGCTCTCAAATTTGGGGAGATCTTTATCCCAGGAGGTTGCTGTAGTAAGGCTAAGCAGAGAGCTCAAGCAACTGGAAGAGTTTGGATGTTTGTTTTACTCATGGCCATCTGTTTCCAATCTTGTACCAAGAGCTGAATCCTAAGTCTTTCAAGACAAATCTTCTCCTTTTTTTACTAGAAAACTTGCCTGCTTTTAGCAGAAATCAGGAATTAAGAATGCATCATCCTCATGAAGGCAAATCTGCATGCAGTGTAGGCTGATCCCAAGGGATCAGCACATGGGGATGTGTGTGCTGACTCCCCATCTGAGCCAAATGCATCCTACTATGATGCGTGGACCCGGTGTGGATGTTTGCTGGGTTGCTTCCCTCTGGCAGCACAAATTGGTGCTCATCTTCTGAGGAGCACACAGCAAAGACAGCTTGCTTCAGGCACTTGCTTCTCCTGTGAGATGAGGAGCAACTGGTGTCCTCTGTCTTTGGATGACAGACAGATTCAGAAAACTAAACTGGAGATCTTTAGCCATGATCACTTAAAGGATCTGAGGCACTAGGATGCTACAGAGAAATCAGAGGAGCCCGAAGGAGTATCACAGTCTAAATGAAGAAACACCCAATAGCTGCCATCCTTCCTCCAGAGCAGGACAGTAGAATGACAGGGGGTTTGGGGTTTTCACCCTGAACCATGGAGAGAGGGACATAGAACAGACTGTAAGGGGTGGTCTGCAGTGGCTCCTGGAGCACCCCGTCCCATGGGCTCTGCTGCAGTCCACTGACCATGAGCCTTCCCCTGTGCATTGGGGTGCACCCAGAGACAACTCCACACCTGTCAAAGCCCATGATGACCCATGAGAAATCTGGAGGGATGACGGATCTCTAGATCCAAGAAACTTGGGAGGCCATGGTCGAGGCCATAGGAAGCTCACACAGGTTTCATTTCAACTGCCTTCTCAAAACTGAATGGATTCCTAACCTCACTGCTGGTTCTAGTATGCATCGCAGGGTGCATTTCCCCACTGAACAATGTCTTGTTCAAAGCCTATTTAATCAG